TATTGAACTACTATTTCATAAATTTCTGTCAATAGCTTTGGTATCAAACTGTATATTATAATCCAAATTTTAGTACTATATATATTACTCACTTTCTTAATTTAAAAGCAAATATAAAAAAACAGATAAATATCGATTTTTTGTGTGTCACATGGTATGTTGAATGTATTACTGGTTCAAATTATATGTTCGTGAAGTCAAAATACTAAGTCTTTAGTTTCGTACAAATTACCGATATTGACAAGCTAGAATATAAAATAGCAGCCTCTTATGTTTTCACTTTGTTAAGATATTGCTCATGTAATAAATCAAACACAGTGGCACCTCACCCACATCTTTCCATTTTTAGAAATGCTCTCTTATATACACTTACTTCTATAAATGCCATGAATAACCAATCAGAAGCTCAGAATGTCCTAGTGGCTTTCTCAGCCATTTTAACGGGCTTGACACCATTTCTTTCTTTTGAATCAATAGTTCAAGGAGGTAGGGTGCGTCTTTAGTCTGTTCGAAATTTCATATTTTTTTAGACTAAAACACATCTTAGTTACTAAGCTTGATATGTTATAGTAGAATTCTATGGTATTATTGCAGCAATTTATGATTTTTTAGTTATTCAAATGTATATATAAAACCTAAAATATATTATTTTATTTCATATCCTCCACATGCAAATTTTTTAAAGGCTTAACAACCTACGTCAAGCAACAACCGAGTACATAGGTCGTAACTAGAAGAGATAATTGTTTGCTTTACTTCTTTAGTTACTGTTGTATGTTTTAAGAAAAATATGTTTAAGAACTTATTTCAATACAGCAATAATCTACATTCATATCTAATGTATAATAATTGAAATGTGACTGTATTTTACAAATTACTAGTCAAGTAAAACACAGCTAAGACAAGTTACTTTGTACAGACAAAAGGTCAGTTTTATGTTATTTGATAGGTTAACATGAGTGCATATGAGCCGTGTCATTGCACCTTCTGTATTGTTAGCCAGGCATGGCTGAAAGGTCAGTATAATAAATATATATAAATGTATAATGTTATGAGATTTAAGCTATTTAGTCTAAACATTTATTTTTTCGTGTTATAATCTGTGTTCATTCTAAACATGAAAGAGGCATATTTTATATTCATTTCCTAATTTTTGATGATGGTTGAGTTATAAGTGAAATCTATCAAACCTATACAGGTATAAATAACCGAAAATAACAGATAAAATAATAAGTTTTTTCTTAAGAAATGTTAAATAACTATCTGGACATCAAATAGATGTTGCATGTGAATTTCAAAATTTTCTGATGCATAAAAGTATTTTTAATCTTAAAATGAATATTACTTTGCATGATAGGCAAAATGTGAAAAGAAAAAACGACATGAGAAAAACATTGCTTTACAAACCTTAAGACTTAATAAAAAAAATATTTTGCATATGAAAGCATTGTAATGTTTACTGATAATCTGCCAAATTTGGTTAACATTCGTTTACTAATTTAAAAGTTATAGCATGAGAACTATAACAAACACAAAATGGTTTATAGGCCGTGTTGAAAGAGTTAATGTGTATTTCCTCCTCCTTTTGGCCTGTGGACGTAGTTGGTCAGATTTGTTTGCCATCAACATTTCATGTATTCTGTATCATTCCCCCTAACTTCTTTTTTTACCAGATCAATCCTTCCTTCCTCAGACTTCAGCAGCTATGGAGGTTAATTCCTCCTTCTCGCCAATTTCCCTTCCTTCAATTTCCTACTTATATTCCCAGTCTGATCCAGATAATCTTCTACGTCCAGTTTTTGCTCTTCAGCATTTTATCATATGCACAGCTTCTCTCCATCATAACCATTCCTGTCTATTCATTCCTTGGTATTTATCCTCTAATTGTGATCTATATCCTTCTACCCTTACCAACTGGGTTTGACTTTTAATTTGATTAGCTTTTCCTTTCTTGTCTTCTTGTTCCTGTCAATTATTCCAGACATCTTCTAATCAGATTAGGCACCTCACTTATTTCCTGGCATCTCATCTGCATTATCCATTGGAGGAAATTCTTAAAGCAGGCCTGTGGACCACTCCTCCTACTTTCACCTCTCACTATCTGCATCGTTTTGGTGTTTCTTCTTTGTTGGGTTATCGCTTTCTACCCTCGACGTCTTTTCCCATGTAGTTCAGACTTCCACATATCATCCTCCTTGAGAATTCCTTCCTGGGGGTGTCTTTGGATGCTTTCGGAGGATGCTTCTCTTTTCTCCCTTGCACTGGTCCCTCCACCTATTCAATGTGGGATTCTAGCTATGTATGTGAACGGAAGTAAGGTCCCTTGTTAGAAATTATACTTTTCCTACACTTCCCACCCTTCCTTAGTTTTCTGCCTACACTCAAAGTGATAGTTAGGTAGAATGACATAGAGAGTCACACAAGTCATGTGTGTGTGAGGCACGTCTATTGGTGGAGGTTTGTAACATGTTAATTTGCATGCAAGAATCAGTTAAACCATGTGAACCAAGAGGGTACTAGGAATAAAAGGCTTGTGGCACCTTAAACACATTTTTCAAATAGAGGGCAGCACTAAACGAGTATAGCTATGTATTTGAATGTAAGTAAGTACCTGTTGGAAATACATTTTCAGTGTAGGAAAATCATAACCTTCAGATTTAGTAGGTGTAAAATTTCAAGAGTCAAGGAGACACAATATGTAGAGAAATAAATGCATATAATTAATAGATACAGTGAAAAAAAAACAGAAATCTTTAAGCACATATGTAATACACTTACACAGAAAAAACTTCTTCCATCAAACCCAAGAACCTGTAAAAATAAAATGAAAAATGTGTGCCTACTTATCTAAAAGATTGTTGAATCAACTCATGGAAATCGCTTTTAAGTCACTAATATAATATACACCTGGAAAAAAGTTAAGCACCCCCAAATATTTTTCAGGATTGCTTATTGAAAATAAGGTTTAATTTTCATGATGTTGAGCAATGTTCATAATTTCAAACATAATTAAAAGGATGTGAGCGTTCAGGTGTGACACTTAAATCAGGCGCGTTTTTTTCCCCACGTGCAATTT